GGGGGACTTGCTGGGCGGGCGGGATGCGGTGGGAGAGCAGAAACATGGGAGTGCTTGGCTCCGTGCGAAGCCAAACGATTGATGCTCAGTAAACACCAGCGCAGTGTGAAGGGTGAAATGCAAAGGGGTAGGGACCAGTCCATAGAGGGCAAGGCTTGTGTTTTCCCTGGGAGCGTGGACCTGGAAAAACCCACCGGCCCTTTGTCTGTGGGAGAGGGCTCTGGAGGCGACCCCAGGGCAGCAGGGCCGCGCTGCTGCAGCGCAGGAGAGGCCGCGGGCCCTGCCGGGGCGGGCATCCCCCCAACGGCACTCAGTGACCGGCCTTTGGCTGGGCTGTGCTAAGGGGAGGGTGAAGACAGCTCTGGCCCTGCTCCTGTCTGCCGCGTGAGCACCAAGTGAGTTCCAAGCCACCTTTTGGCAGGTGGCATGGAGAAGATCCCCGAAGGAAAGAGGCCTGGGGTACCGGGCAGATCTGACAGCAACACGTGTGCTTCTGCCTCTTCACGCCAGAAGGACAGCGCTTCTAGTACCAGCGGAAATGCCGGCCGAAGAGCTCTGCTGTCGGTCTTGTAAGATACCAAGCTGAAGGTACCTAAGAGGGGTACTGGCAAGTAGCTATTTTTTTCCCTGGCCAAAGGGATGATTTGTGCGTGGCATCTCCCAAACCCTGAGCCGATCGCCCCAGAGCTGGTTTGACGTCAGCGAAATTCAGCTTGCAGCTCGGAAGGGGTTTTGCCGAGGAAAAGGCTGAAGGCGAGAGCTGAGCGGCTGCAGGGCCGCGCCTCTGAAGGGCTGTGTTTCCCTGCCAAAGAGGGAGCGCAGAGCGCGGCTGAGCAGGAGGGTGTTTTTCAGAGCAGTATAAGTCAGTATTTTCATTCCTGAGCTGCTGGGCAGACGGGGAGAGGACCGTGCTACCTAACGCAAGTACCAACACGTGCAGTCGTACGAAAGCAGAGGTTTGTGTAATTCAAAGTAGAAGTTCGGATGGGTTATGGGAGTAAGAAGGACAGAGGAAGGAGGGCGCGCGATGGAGGTGCACAGGCTGAGCCATTTGCAGAGTATTTCCCCAAGGAGCTGGGCAGCCTGGAAAGGAAGGTGGGAAACGAGTCGTGCTTACTTTTCCAGAAGTGGCCATGGGGTCTGAGCAGAGCTGTTGCTGTCGCTGCAGCAGGCTGGAGGGGAGCTGCCGCCCGACTGGCCAAAGCCCCGCGTTACGAAAGGGC